TGACTTACATAAACATTTGGACAAGCTAACAGCAGAGTCAGAGTAAACAAAAATGACACAACACATAAAAATGCTCACCCATACACCGAGAGAAAAAAAGGGGGAGGTGGGTCAGCTGGCAACTTAAACGAGCATCCGAAAGGATTTTGTGTACAATTTCCGTTTTATGACTCTCCAGAGTGGCAATAAATCTCACACAAAACTATTTCCGTTGCATTCGAGCTGCTGCTGTTGCTGCTTAGCCCTCTCACATGCAACCAAGGATCGGGAAAAGGCAAGGGAAAGGCGGCAGAAAGGATAGTGCTTGCTGCACATTATCTTGTGCGCAAATCCGAAAAATCCGAATCCATTCGCTATAAATGGCGGTCGTCTGGCTGCGGCTTTCATTTTTGGTCCCTGTCCCTGCCCCTGCTCAAACCCTTGGTCTCGGGTCATTGTCGGCCACCGAAATGGCTCAGGACCCTCCTCATCCCCTCCGCAATTCTCCTTTCAGCTGCTTATGACTCGTCTGGGTCGCGTGTTTTGTTTGGCCCGTGGCACGTACTCGCAGGAGTCTCACACTGGAAGGAAATACTCTGTTTAATAACAGGAAGATATATATATAGGGATATGGTACTTAAAACATGTAACATTAGTTAGACATTTATATTTATTTTATCTATGAGTTATTCTTGGTCTTTTTACACTATACACAGACTACCTCTGTTCATTAGGAACATAGTTCTCTATCGAGATATCATAAGTCTTTATATTTTTAGAGATACAATAATATTTGTAACTGAACTCTAAATTAAGTCAAATATTTGTTGTTTTAATTCGTAACAAATAAATTCGGACCCAATAATTTCTTATAAAACTCTCAGTGTGGCATATTGTTTTTTTTTGCCAGCCCGTTTTCCGACTATTTCCTCTGGTTGTCTTTGAGCTGAGTGCGCTTTTAGCGCGGCATCCGCTTTGGCTACGCCCATCGAAAATTATGAAATACTTGCACCGAATCAAAGATATAATAATAATAAAGCAAAAAAATCATAAAAAAAAAGATTTGCAAGTCAATTTGTCAAGCACTAAGAGAGATTTGCCGGCTCGTCCCTTGTCCTCGTCATTAGCGCCAAAGTCACGATTCGACTTTATTGAAAGCACTTTAATTTAATGTGCGTGGATTTTGCTTTTCACATTGCTGCTCCTTTTGCCCTTATTCCATTTTTTTTTAACATTATTTTGCATAATCCTTTGGTGTATGAAGTTTGCTTCTTCTGCTGTTGCTGTTTTCTCTTCTTTCTTTTTCCGGCTGCAGCACGGGGCGTATACGTAACGTGTAATTTCATTGCATTTGCATGTTTTATAAGACAGGCCGCTCCATCCCCTTTTCTCTAACATAATCTAACCTGTTTCCATGTTTGTTTCACCCACACTCTCTGAATGCAATATATCTTTTAAGGGATTTTTGCACTGTTTTCATTTTGCCAGCTCAAGCAAAGTTTTATTGACAGTAAACGTGGGCGATACGAAACTAAAAGTTTTTCCCTGCTCTGGGGATTTCTCTGCCGTGCGTTTTGTGGGCCACACATGCCAAAGAGGCTGAGATTCATAAAACAAAAGCGAGGAGCGCTTCAAAAATCGAAAACATTTTGTTTGCAAGTGTTTAAAGCCGAACTTTTACACGTGTCCAGCATGCGAGTATTCGAGTCTCGTGTGATTGTGTGCCAACAACAAAACGCCTTGCATTAGGAGCTCTTGAGAGCATTTCTCGCATTTGCTTATTGTTGGCCACATATAACTTTATTTGAATTGGCTAAAAACTTTGCAACACGTGTTACGGCATGTGCCCGGAGCATCGAGTTAGCCATTTTTCGAGAGTATAACTTCGCTTAGATTGGGCCATAAGTGGCAGCAGTTTAGTCAAGTTGGATTTTGATATTAAAAGAGTACTCTGTGCATATCTGTGGCGTATGTACTGAGAAAACTATTCCCCTGAATTCCCACAAAATTTAAGAGAAATTCTGACCAAAAAAACCTATCTCAGCAGCTGAAATATGTCAAGAAGCATGTAATTAAAAACCACTAACGAGCTCAATCCTAGTCAGCCGTAGCTGTCAAACCATCTGAAACATCTAATTAGGCTGCACCGTGAAATTCAGAGAGATGGGGTGAACTGGTGACAAAAGAGGCCAAAACTATGCTGACAAAGATGGGAGTTCATTAGGCGACGTAAACAGACTTTTTAGCCAACGTTTTCGATTCACTGTCACAGTCGGCAACGCTGCGTATGCGTAATTTATGTTGCAGGTGTTTGCTGAACAGCCACACGAAATGCTCATGCGGCAAACTAAATGCAAAAACCATTTTAATTAGCACGAACATCATTGTAACTCGTTAACGCTAGCGGCAGACCTGGTAGCTAAAAAGGAGGTAAAATGATCCAAGATAACATACCACCCCTCGATCCACCCATCGACATGTAGCCGAAGAAAAACAACTACATGCGCAGCCAGCAAAAAGGAGTCGAACATGGCCAACCGTAGTTAAGTAGAGATGACTCATCTAGTGATGGAAAGGCTCAAGTTTATTTTTTTTTTAATAAAGTAGGTATATTATTAAATTAAGAGCTTATTAAGCCAATATAAAGTATTACACTTATATTTTAAAATATAATAGATTAAGTAAATTTATTAATTTCCAAACTGGTCCTGGATGAAGGGTGTGAGTCTTGATAAGACATCCTTAATATTTCCCGTCGCTGTTAACATTCGGACCTGGAATCAAGGAGTAAGCGAATTCAGAGCTTTTTGCATTTTCCACATATTTTTCTGGAGCACCGGACAGGCTGCTGATGAAGAGATAATATTGTGATCACGTTCAGCAACCTGCTGAAATGCAAATACTTACGTTTGCTCCCTTGCCAGTCGAACCGTGTATGTAATGCGAGTCGCGCTAATGAAACGTTCATTAATCATACGCCACTTGGCAGCGGTCGGATATATTTTGGATATGGGGCCAGGTATCAGGCTAGTTAGCAAATCCGGCTACGTAACCGGGAATGCGCCTTCAAATCTGACAATGCCAAGTGCCAACTGCCAACACGAAGCACACACGGAGGCCAAAGGGCCGACAGTTCTGGAAGTTCGTTGCTGCACCAAGAGAATTTTAACATATTAATTAAAATCGTTTAAATATTACTCGACTTGGGTTTGATTTACACACTAAGGTTTCGCAATATTATTAACTTGTTCCTCCAAAAATAATTAGTATACTGAAATCAAACAAATTTCACAGCACTTGCTGTTACTTTCTTATAATAACATTAGGGCACTTATGTTTACTTACATGTACTTATACTACTTGCTAAAAATTATTTTTGTATGCTCTTTTTTATTCATTTATTCATTTAAGAGAGTAAATATTTAAGTGCTTTTCATGAATCATATTTGTATTTTTTCTAGTGTACTCGACAGTGCTACGTGTGTATCTGTGGGCATTAGTGTGAGTGTCCCAGGTAGTTAGTTAATTAATATTCCCGTTGCCGCACGTTTCATGTTTGCATTAATTTGGCAGGTAACTTGTCAACATTGTTGTTGCTGCCGCTGTTGGCCCTTTTGGCCTGATGAGGATGTCGGTGATGGCGGGCTTTGTCTAACAAGCTGCACACAGATACACTTACACGGTAAGGCCAGGATAGACACACACAGATACAGACACACCCACACACAGGCCGTCGGGGAAGCACGCGCACACGCTTGCCGAGCTACCAAATGTATGTTCTTGGCTTGTAATTAGCAAAGATCGAAGTGATTTAATTACTTGGGCAAACTTTTAACATTGTCTACATGGCATACAAAAACTTGGCTGCATAATCAGCCCGAGACGTTTGCCGAGCTGTTATCGATATCACTGGATATTAAGTCCTGTTTACCCGGCTTTTAATCAGTTGCGGTATTCTTATCATCGCTGCGAAATGAATGTAATTAGAGTTTGGCAATTGCCGTCGTCAGCGCTCTAATAAGCCTCTAATTAAGCACTTGGCCGGGCTTAGACTTTCCACAAGTATTTTAGGGTGGTAAAAGTTCGTCTCCAGGGAGCAAAAATCCCGATAAATGTATACATTTTCCATATCCCATTTTGTTCAAGAGTAATTTTATGCCAGAGCTATCCCCCAAATAATCCATTGTTTTTGCTTTCAATTTGGGTAAATTAGCAATGTATGATGTGAAACTTGATTTGATTTGAAAAATCATAGCATTTCCTTTCATGGGCCTTTCAATCACCTTATTGAAATTCGAATGGAGCCTTTTTGACAGCTCTTTGAAAAGATTTTGCAACATGAGAGGGGCACGGGCGCAGTAACAGACTCCCACCCATACAAACACAGGCTAATCAGGCTTATTTGTTCTGTCTGTGTCAGCTGGCCTGACTTTTTGCCAAGCTGACTTTTATTAAAAGCGACAAAAGCCCAGCTAACGATTGCGCATACGCCGCGTTTCCCGCACCTACCCCAAAAACCGAATTCAAACACAACTCTGTTAGCGAATGTTACGCCGTGCTTTGCGGCTTCGCATATACAAGTAATCTAATTAGTTTTATGCTAATTAGCACGCGGCTTTAATTTAATAAATTATTATAGCGCATTATTTGGCCAAAACTACACTCAACTAGAGCGGGGAAGCGGGGGCGGTCATGGGAATGTTTACGGCTGGACTGATTTGCGTTGTCATTTCGCAAATCGCTGGGCAAAGCCAAAGATTAGGTTAGTTAAAGCGGTTTAAAGCCCAAATAAACTGACATCAAGCTTCATTTCTAGATATTTAAATTAAAGTTTGTGTCAAAGGAAAACTTTAGTTTTGATTTAACTAATTAAGCAACTCATTTGGTACACAAACAATTTTTTAATTTAATTTGATTTAATTGTAAATTATTTAAGTTTATTTAAGTTTTAAAATTTGGAACCTAAGTTGTATTGCTTTCGCAGAATGGTTATTTCGGCAATTAATTAAATTGTCAAAGAACAACGTTGTTATTGTTTTAATGAAACAAGAAATTTAGCTTTCAACAATACTAGTAAATTTAATTAAAACATTGGCTTGGCTTTTAGTTATTATTACATGTGCGCAATTCAATAAACTGATCAAGCTGTAAAGACGGCAAATGGACGTTAAGCTTTGAACTTCTAAAAGGAACACAATCTATAGTTTGTAGGCCTGCCGCATCATCAGGTCAAAATATGCATCATTATCGATCGAGGCGCTGATCGTGGCGTAGTAGTTGATGAACTCCTCCCTGGTCACAACTCCATCCGGATTCGGAGCACCTTCCTCGAAGTTTTTCAGGAAGCCCGTGAATATCTCAGCCTCAGTCATCTCGCCACTCAAGTACTTCGGATGATCGCGCACCGAGTAAACGTTCTTCAAATCGGCAACCGTGATTTGGCCATCTCCGTTGGCATCCATCTTGTCAAAGGCCTTTTCGATGATGCTGATACGGGAATTATTCATAGGTGGCTGTAAAATATATTGATATATATTGATACGATTTTTTTACCAATACATTTCAAGTGTATTTACCCGAAGCTTTACCAGAAATTCAGTCATATTAATGTTGCCACTTCCGTCTGTGTCGAAGCTGTGAAAACATATTTTAAAATATTTATTGTATGAAGGTATTATTAATTTTAAAAGGGGCAGATTACAGCATTGCATAATTATAAGCCCTTATTTATGTTATGAAAAGGCATAACGAAGCTCGAACCGTGTCAGCCTGAAATACCTATTTATAACTTAAATTTTAAATTCACATTTACCAACCTGGTGAACATATCCTCGATTTCGGAATCACTCAGCTCCAGACCGATATCTGTGACTCCTTTTTTGAACTCCTCGGCACTGAGAGTCTTGCTGCCATCATCGTCCATCACCCGAAATGCTCTGGAAAATGGGAAAAGAGAAGAGTGCAGTGAGGACCGCAAAAATAATTCCCAATATGAATGGCAAAATGAAAATATATTCCTATTATTGCCACGGGACAAAGCGAGTCGGATAAGAATATGCCATTGATAGATACTCGGAAGAGTGGGCGGCTGGGGGATGGGAACTCATTCAGCTATGCATTCGATGCATTGAATTTTCCGGCTGGCAAACAAACAAATTGCATAAATACAAATGAAAATGCGCGCTCACGAGGACGAGGCCAATAGGCGCAGCCACCATCCGACCGACAAGCCAACCAGCAAACAAATGCACACACCGTACATATGTTGCAGAAGCGAGGATTTTGTACAAAATGTCTATATATTCAAAGCGGGAAATTGTTAGCAGACAGCCGGCCGGGAAAAACAGGTGGAGGCGATGGGCGGTGGGCGGTGGGTGGTAGGCAGTGGGCGGTACAGGTGGCAGCGGTTTGCTGCTGGCAGCTCAAATTGAAATAAAAACTAACAGTGGGCTGATGTGGCTGAGGGGTAAAGTTGAAAGGGGGTGAGGCAGGTCGCAGCACTTTATATAGGTGCCAGCTGAAAATTTGTTGAGTGGTTTCACATTATCAATTTATACAATCCTCAATTAATTGTAAGTTAACTAAGTACCCTAAAGATTGTAAAATACATATCTTTAAATTTCATTTATCCACAAATTAATTGAATTACCATATCTGATTTATATCAAATAATTTATCATAGATCAAAGATTAGAGCAAGTTTAGCCTTATCTTAGATATGACTAATAAAATAGCTAAAATCATAATTTATTGGCTTTTTTCTTTGAGTGTGGCTTTACTCGACAGCAACTACAGAAATCCAATTATGTTTGTTTGCATTCAGTCAGCGATTTTTGCCACTCCCACTCAGCCTCCGCTTCAGTCTTCCAGCGAGCGTCATAGTTATAGTTTTTTCTATTTTCCCTTTTTTTTCCTACCAGGCCTGCACACACTTGAAAGCGCTTTCGAGAATGTTAGTTCAACATGCACTCGAACTCTCGGCATGCTCGTATTTACATGCGCCTTGCTGAGCCCAAACTTAACATCATCATCAGCAGTAGCTTCAGCAAAAAAAGCCGGCAAAGTTTCAGTTTCATTTGCCATATTTTCCTGTCGGGAATCGACCATCTTCACCTACCCTTCCTTTGGCCATATGTTTACGAGCTCGTCACTTGTCGGACCCTCAACGATTTCATCTTTTTAATACTACCCCATCCAGTGATGTTGCGCTTCACAAGAGGCTTATCTGCATCCCAAGCGAAAAAAGGCAGATTTTTGATCATATAGCTTACACTTGTACACATCAAACCGAAAATGAAGTCAAAATTCTAAATACACTAGGATGGTGTCAATAAATACATTTTCTTCAACCTTTTATAAATTATTACTGACAAGTCTAATCCATTTTCTCGCACCAATTATTTTTATTTAATAAATATTCCTATTTAAATAGGTCTATATTTGTAATTGTAACAAGCCTCTTTCATTTTAATTTGTGTATTTTATTTTATTTTTGCTCGATAAATGTTGTGTTAAATATTTTATGTACTTTTAATCAAGAAAAACATAAAGTCTCCTTCATTTATTTTATTATCTGTCAATGGTAATTTCATAACAAAGCACTTTCTCCATAGTTCTCTTTTCAAATTAGTCTTATGATACGGATTAAGTTAGTTCACACATAATAACAATCATTTTAAATTTTCTATTGATATTCGTTTTGCAGGATACATTTGTATTAAATATTTAGGGGATCTGTGGCTTCTCTACTCTCGAACCACAAAAATAAAAAGTAAGTAGACAAGAAACAAATAGAAAGCAATCCAGCGCATGAAGCTCTCGGTAACACACACAACTGGACCACCAATAGGCAAACATGCAGCCTCACCTAAGCCTATTTCCCTGATTCCCTGGAAGAAGGGTTTGTATCCATAACCAACTCACCTGGACAAACCCAAGATGCCGGTGGCCCCGCGACTGAAGCACTGCAGGCGCAATTTGTAAATTGGATCCTTGTCCAGGCCGTTGGCCAACTCGCGCCTGGCCAGATTCTTCAGGGCGGCCTCCTTGGTGTAGGCGTTCTCACGATGCATCTACGGAAAGTAAATAAACATATTCAAATCAAACCATAGTGCCAAACGAACAATTTCCTTTGATTTCCTTTGCTTAAGTAGAATCAAAGGATTGTCCTCAGGCTGTTTTGTATTACTAAGAAAGAAAGATTGGAGGTGAGAAATGTTTTTTGAGGGAATCAGTTTCCATTTTTTAGAAATAATTTTCACTTTAAATATTAAAATATAAGGCTTACAATAGTGGTGGTTTTTTATACAGTTAAGGAATACGAAATAAAATTATGCATTGGGTCTTTCGCTCTGGCTTATTTAAAATATCTTAATTGTTCAATAAATATGATAAAAGTTGATATTATCTTTTTATTATGAATATTGTAATCTAAAAAGCTATATTTATTATTGTTGTGGTTCAGTTAGAACATTACCTGAACATTGTGTGTAATGGGAAAAAATATTTATCGTTCCTTTATTTACTCTTGTATGGGTTTAATTACCATTTCATTTTACTTTTGCTTATTGTGGCGAGCTTAAGTTTATAATCTGTCAATTGCCCCCGGGCGATTACCAAGAATTTGTTTGATATTTAATTTTTGTGTTTATGTTGCTACAATAATTTTCGGCTCGGCAAATACTTTTGTGGACTGGAAAATTCGATGGGCGTTGGTTGCCAAGCTGCGACAGTCATAGCCGAGGGCTATTACACCCGGAATTGATTTACTTTAGCTCAAAGGCGCCTAATTACACCAGAAGGTGGGTGCACGAAGCCGATGTCTACTGTCTCTAGGAAACCAAAACAAGCTTTGTAATTTACCAAGTTGATTTACATTTTAAATGAATGTTGCCAAATATGACTTGTCAGTCACTTATGGCGCACTCAGTACACGCTTCAATGCATTGAAAGGCTTGGCAGCTATTCTCTACCTTAATTGCCGATCTAAATCAAACAAAAACTTGTTCAATTAAAAGACGCTCCAACAACAGAGTTTAAATAAAGTCTTTGAAATGAGCTGAAAAGAATTTATGTAGAGGTTGCTTTTACCCAATGCAAAAGCAAAGGCACCATAAGAAATTGTTCATACTAAAAAAATATCTTAAATATGGCAATTAATAAAAGTAATTGGTCAGCAATGTCATTTAAAGGTATTCGTTAATTTTCTTTTTGTTTCTTTTGAAATTACTGTATTGGTGATGGCTCTTACATATGGAAGGAAATTCATTTCATTTTATATTTATCAATATATCTAGATAAACAATAAGAGGATAAATATAAAAAATGTATTTCATTGCCATTTCTAAACTGCCAATGTTAACTTTATGATTGCATATTTTTTAACCTACATTTTTTGAACTAATAGTTTTCTTGCAGTGAGGCTTCTCCACCCCTTTGCCTTCATACGAATGAACAGATAGTCGAGCGGTGGGGTTAAAACCTGACCAGGTGGCAGTTAGCTTAATGAACTGTGACGACTCGAGGTCCGACTAGTTTGATTAGCACTTAATTTGGTCGGCGAGGGTAAGTGTGTGCAATCACCTCAAACTTCCACGCATCAGTTCGCAATTATTAGTTTCATATGGATGTATGTATATGCCTTTAAAACATTTGCACACCGGCATTGAATTGTAGCACGCGGGAATTTAAGTATCATTTATTAAGTTAATCCAGAAATATTTTTGCTTTCGGAAAAATTAAACTATGTATTACAATGATAGTTTGTTAACTATTTTAATAAGGAAATTTTGTTGAACCTTTTAACTTTAAAAGGATATATTTGATTTTGAAGAAAGAATTAAAATTATCGATATATAGTTTATTTTCAGAACATTCTTGACCTGCAACTGTTATTTCCTAATTGGATTTGATTTATGTAGTCATCGCCAGTAAGAAAATAAACAGACCCTGAATAGTCAAATGTTTGTCTTTCAAATCAATAACATTGATTTGTTTACTCAAAGAACAACGAAAATACAGAATTTCAGGGCAACCTTGAAGCCTTCGACCTAGGAAATTACATCGATTTATGTGATTTGAATAACTGACATGTTGGCCTGAGTAAACAAGCTCAAAAAGCTTTTATTTCCATTTTTTTATATGTACATATATAATTATATATCCGTTGGGAGTCCCATTCCTGATGACCCCGTTAGATAGTATGTTAGACAGGCACGACTAATGCGGCGTGAGTAATGAACGGTGCTCTAATTAGCAGCCCCAGGTGGCACTTTAGTGTCCTTAAATGCCACACGCCATTCGGTCACAGGTCACTGAGAAAAAGTCAACATATAATTCAAATACTTCCATGAACCAAATAAAGTTTTAAATTCCACTGAGATGTAAAACGTAGGCTTTCAGAAAAGTATTTTATAAGAGAAGTATTTTTAATTTTAAATTTTTTGGCTTGATGAAAAAAGAGCGTTACAAAAACATAATCTAGGTCTTGTCAATCAAGTCCCAGACCATAAATTAATATTATTGTTTTAATATTTTGGAACTCTGCGAGGAAGAATAAAATTATGTCAGACGAATTTCTTATTACACAAAATTAACTAGTTAAAAATGTGTTCAGAAATATTTATGCAAAGAAGGGTTTTGGGATCAGGAATTTATTTTGAAAACAAGATAATTTTAGATAACGAATTTTATACTCCATGATATAATTTACTTCACCTTAACAGTAAAAGTAATAATAAATGTTATAGTTTGGATTCTTAGGCAACTGTAAAACTCCAAAGCTTTCTTAAAATGGGAAGTCCCGAGTCTTGGCAACAAATGTTGCCGGGCAACAAATGCACCTTCAATGGCAAACTGCAGCATCCTTGCCGGAAGTCAAGGTCGTCCATACTATCGATTTCGCCCGGGCTGACTGCCCATCCTACATAATATAGCGCATACGCCACGTATGCAAAAAGTGAAATGCCAGCTAACGAGTAGAAAAAATAGAAAGCCGAAAGGAAGAGATGCTAACGAACTGCGATAGAACATGAAAAATAAATTATGGCTTTATTGAGGGTAAGGGTAAACAAAAAGACGATTTAACACGTCAGCAGGACGCTGAGTGCGACAGGGATAATGGCGACACACACAGGATACAGGGGACTCACAGGACAACGGCAGAAGACCTCCAGCAAATAAAGCAAATAGGTCACGTTCAAACACAACATCGATTAACCATAAATTGCGAGTTAAGCAAAAGGCAGCAAGGACAACGTTAAAAGCCGGCAGAAGAACTCCGGGATCGGGCTGAATTTGAGCCTGATTTGTGCGTGTCTTTATGACACAGAGCACCAGATTCTGAAACTGTTGCGGATATGTGTACCAAATAAAGAGATGCGTTGACGTGCCGCTTGTTTCGCTAACAAGCAAAGTATCGGCCACTGCCAACGCCAGCTGTCTCTCCAAAATGTTGAAAAAAATATAGGAAAAAGAAAGTACAGGAGCCAGCTCAGCAAAAGGAGCGACATGTGTACATATGTGCGAGAACTTTCACCATAATTAACAGACACGTCGATTATTTCTTTGCCACACTTTTTACCTTTCCCGGCAGTTGCTGACACTCAGTGTCTATTATTATTTTATTCCAGTTTCAACAGTTTCAACTTTTACAATGCACAATGCCGCAGCAATACGGAGTTTTCCACGCACGTGTCGCGAGTGCGGAGCGTTGGCAACGAATGAGGAAAAGCCACCACCACCGGGGCAACCACTCAACCATTGCAGCTGTGGATAGTTTCCGAGCCCACACCCACACACCCGTCGCCATGAGCGGCGTCCTTACCCAACTAACAAATACACCGAAAAATTTAAGAGTGCTATAGCTACCAAAATGTATCGAAATGTTTTGATATATAGCATAAGAATTATTGTAATTTATAATAAAGTTCCAAATGATTACTAATCTGTTTCCATTTTAAATCAGATAAAGAACTTTTCCCTTCACGTATCTATATAAAATATTAATTTTTTAATTCAAAATAATTTTGAATTACTATGTGGAACTAAAATTATAATAAATGGTAAACTTTAATAAATATTACAAATTAAATGTATTTATTTTCAGTTTGTTGAATGCGTTAAATATTTTGTTTAAATATATATATATTATATTTTTTATCATTATTATTATTTTTTCTATTAGGTGTTGTCATGTTAGGGATAGAAATATTAATTAAAACAATTATTTACCTTTTTTAGTGTTATAGCTTCCTTATTTATTTATTTCAGAATTTTATTCATCGATTTTCAAGGTGCCCTTATTCTCAGTGCACTGTAAGGAAAGCTTAGCAACCTACTTATTTTGCTGCCAATCGCCGGATGCATAGATACATTTTTACGCGAGCTTTTGTGGCTTGTCGCACTTTGTTTAGGTACATTTTTTTTAGTTCCCTTTTTTCCGTTTATTATTGGGGTGCTCACCTTTTTGGAAAAATGGGAAGGCGGCTGGTGTATCACATTTTTATGACGCGACACGGCATAATCATTACCGCTTTTGGTGGTGTCGAAGTGCATAAAATTTATGCGCTCATATCATGCTTTCCATTTTGCTAAATTGATGTGCGCTTTATGAGTTGTACTTTTTATTTGTTGGATACTCTTCGGAAATTTATAATAATTTAGTTACAACAAATACTTTAATTTTGCGATATATAATTTAATGCATAAATCTTGAAAAATAGATAATCATTTAACAAACTATGAAACTAAAACTATGAAACTAAAATCAGTTGAAAACTACCTTCTTTATAAATTATTAATTGTGATATTATTTATCTCAAAATATACCCTTTGCCAGATGTAAAAAAAATTAAATTAATTTATGTTTTTATTTTCATTTCTGGAATTAATAAATAACCCCTAGGGCAATCGATTTTTATTTTTTGCTTATTATTTGTTTATTTGATTTGTTACATAAATATTTGTTTGGACCAACCCAGCGCTGCCAGTGGCTAACTAGAAAACATGACAGATAAGTCTATAAAAAAGTGAAAAAAGGACAACAAAAAATGATGAAATTATAATTTTACTCACTTTATTTGTAAATAGAGTAATTTTATGATAATTATGAATACAGATCAGCGAGAAACATAATCCATTTCTCTACGATTTCCAACAAGTGCTAGATGAAAATGATTTTCACTAGTTGGGGGAATATCTCTTAGCAAAATTGTATATTCAAGTCCAACACTCCCGTTTGCATTTTACTAAGGCATTTCTTAAAATTGAAAAAATATTTCTCCACGTTCTATTATCTCTGTTGTCAGCGCTCTGGTCGCATTTCTCATTTGGGGTAATGAATCGGTTGTTGCTCTTATGCTCGTGGGTTTATAAGTAAGAAAGATTGCCGCATCATGTGGGGGAGATTTGCGCCACCATGTTGGCCAACCGCTGGCTGTCATCAGCCGGCCCCCTCCCCCTTGAGAGCCCCACACTTCTTGGCCATAATATTTTGTCAGTGGCATTTTGCGTGCATGTGTGCATGGCTCGCTGCTTTTTACTGTCAACTACATTTTGTCAAATTACTTATGCAAATCTTTCAACTTTTACAAGCGCGTCGTTGCCACGACATCAGCGAGACTTCCAGCACCTTTTTTCATACCCTCCCATTTTTTTTTGTTGATAACAAGGGCAGCGTAAAAAGCTCGTTTACGGATGCTGCTCAAGTTATTTTCCCCGAGAAAAATTACACTCAAAGCCTGACATGAACTGGCTCTGATGCCCCCAGATCCTGAGATGCTGCTCATATCACGCACAGTCACACACATAGTCAGGTATTGGGGGCGTGTCCGCTCTCGGGGGCGTACTGCCCATTCATAGCCGTGGGCGTGGCTCTCCTGCCGGAGTTCCCTTCCCCAGGATAGTCTACTAAAAACCTATTTTGAATACCGCGTCACGGCAACAAAGTGTTGGCCAAGCATCTCAGGTATTAGACAAACAAAGTTGCCAGCCATCGGGCTAAAAAAGGTGGTGTGAGAGACTACTTGTCGCTTCTGCAGGTCCTGGATAGAGACTGAGAGAAAAAATTTCACCTTACAACTGAACAAAAATTGTTAATTTAAACATATAAATGAGCTTCTTGTTTAGGATAACAATTCAACCACAATTTTGGACCATACTATTTTTATACCCGTTACTCGTAGAGTAAAAGGGTATATTGTATTCGTGCAAAAGTATGTAACAGGTAGAAGGAAGCGTTTCCGACCCTATAAAGTATATATATTCTTGATCAGGGTCACTAGCCGAGTCGATATAGCCATGTCCGTCTGTCCGTCTGTCTGTCTGTCTGTCCGTATGAACGCTGAGATCTCGGAAACTATAAAAGCTAGAAGATTGGCATTTTGCATGCAGATTCTAGGAGTTCCTACGCAGCGCAAGTTTGTTTCAAAAAGGTGCCACGCCCCCTTTAACGCCCACAATCGCTTATATACGATTTTAAAAATTTAAATATTTCGAAAAAGTAAAAATGCAGTTTTATTGTGTTTATCAATACCTATCGAAATGTAGAAGAAATTTTTCAAATCGGACCATTCGTTAAAAAGTTATGCGTGATCAAAGTTTATATCTCCATCTCCCTCCCACTCCCTTTACCAGAGTAACGGGTATCTGATAGTCGGGGCACCCGACTATAGCGTTCTCTCTTGTTTGGTATGAATAATATCTTATTTGCTTGATGATTTTAGTATATACTTTAAAAACTGTTTAAAGTTGAATATAAAAATTGGAATTATTCGTTTAACTATTTACTAACAAATATTTTCCACAGTGTCCACCTCTTTCTTTCGACCAAGGCAAGAGCTTTATGCGCTTATAAAATAAATAAAATTTATGCTGCGACGCATTATTGCCATGTCCTTTGTCCTTCGTCCTGCTTTCTGAAGCCATTCACTTCACACTGCGCTGTTGTTGTATTTAAAAGATGACAAATCGTCGTCAGGTGGGAATTGAGGGGCGGAGAAACTTCGTCAGTGAAACTCATTTTGTGGCACTGATAAATTTGTCGTCTATAAAAATGCTCCTGCAAATTTTAGATGCCCTCGAAATGCAGAGTGGCTTGGTTCTGTGTAGCAAGAATACAAAAATAGACATTATCTTATATATTTTTTAATAACCAATAATAGTGATTAAGGCTCGAATACAACTGTGATTTTAATAAAAAGTTGTATTTTAATTCGATTTAATAAAAACTTAAAACATAAATTTGAGAACTGGAAACATGCCGGAACTTTAATCTAATATTATTTTAATAGTTAATACCAAAACAATCGTACTGGTACATTTTAATAGTTATGTCTGATAAACTAAAAATCTAAATTTTGTATCCTTAATTTAAAGTTTTAATTTTTTTAATAACTCCTAGGTAAGAAGAACAACGCGCTTCCATTGGACATTTTTTTTAAATTCATCATTACATTTTTGCAGACCACTTCAATTGTATTTTAACGATTCGGACTAAAGACCAAACGTTATGACCCACGGTATGCATAAGTACTGTATCCAGAACCTTGCCATTTTCGCCCTGCTTATGATAAATACTTTGCCTTTGTCTGTACCTGGCCACTTGAATCCGACAATGCTGATGATGATGAGGATGCTGATGGTGGAAGGCAGGTGGACGAAAAATGGACGGAGGGCGGTCCAGCTCGACTCAGTCCATTATTTATGAGTGTGTTGACATGGAATTATTCTTAGGGTCTATTGTGGTGGCCACGGGATCGGCCACTACGGTTTTCGTCTCGTAGCTTAGGGCGTGCAAAATTCCAGATAACTTGCCACTAGAAACGCAGCGAAGAGCCCGGTGGGCAAATATTTACCTAATTAGTGAAATGGCGACCTCAGCAACCTACGACCAATGCCACGCCCCTTTTGCCCACCCACTGAGGGAAAACAACAACGCCGTGGCAAGGACGAAAAGCCGGCTTTAAAGCTGCGTTTTATGGCCATTGAAATGCGTGGCATGAAAAGTGGAAGTGGATGTCGCGGTCTTGTTGATTGTTGACCCGCCGCTTATATTAATTGAGTTTGCTCTGGTTTTTGACCTTGCCGCATACTTAATTGAGGACTTCTCCCACTCCGGCTTAATTCTGTTGCTTTGGTAACAATCACAGAGCGAATCATTAATCATGGCCAAAATGGTTGGGTCATACATCATCGCCGGCTGGCAGGCATTTTCATATGCATGATCTAATCGAATTTAGCAAATTGCAACACTGTCAATAAAGGACCGGACCTGAATATATTTTCTTATTCTCCTAGGATGGAGGAAATCTGCATGGGTCGAAGGAGCTGCCGGCAAAACAATTTACTTGTAATATTTCACAAAAACATCAAACTGTCGTTGACAATTACTACAAGCTAACTTTATTTTATTTAATGAATGGTCCGGCTCAGACTGCCGAACAATGGATACTTGCTACTTCAGTACACTAAGAGAATAGGTGCTTTTAAAGTACTTTTATTGGATTCGAAATACTTAAAATTCTTTAATGTCGGCAAAGATTGCATTCGCTTCTTTTTTCATTACTGGATGTAAACTATTTCAAGAACACTTTAAAAATGGATACATATTTTATTGATACATTTGATTATTTAAATTAAATTAAATAGTATGTCTATGAAACTACATAGAACTATTTGTTTCTTTTTAAATTATACCAAAAGTTTC